TGGATAGAAATGGAAAAGAGAGACAATTATTAAAGAATATAATGTAAATTGTTCGTTAAATGTCAAAAAGAATTAAAAGATGGAAAAGATGTGGAAAAATTATTAGATAGAGAAGATAGAGAGAAATTTCAAAGAATAAATATAATATTCTAATGATGGTACTATGTTAATAGATCGCAAAAATCATTTAAAGTTTATTTATAGTTAAAGTTTAATACACGTGGCGTGGCGGAGCGGACGGACATTGCATGCTTTCGAGTAAAATGGAAAGTCCTTCGCTAATGCTTTGGACAATTATAAAAATCTAAATCTAAAATACAAATTTTATTCTCTTAATATACCATTACAATAAAATAATTATGTAATTTTTTTTTTTTTTTGAATAAAAAAATCTGTACCACGAAGCACTGTATATTCTTTTTTAAAAAAAATCATGTAAGTCATGCTGTTCATGCTGTTAATAATTTAAATCATATGGACAATCCGTATGATCATATGATATTGAGTGTGATTTGTGCAATAAAAGGTAATTCGAGTTTCACTAACATTTTCTGTATACATATTAGGTTTATTTGAACCTGAAACTGCTGGGACTTACAGGGCTCTTGAGCTATACTTTTTTATATTTCGGGGAGAGGAACCGGATGATCCCCTTGCATTATTTATGCAAAAATTATGGATTATAAATACTAAAAATGGGAGTCGTCTAAAAGCCGTGTTCAGTCACGTGACGTAACATTTTATAAATAAGTCATTTTTTTATGAACTAAGATTAATGTAAATATGAAAGTCATAGAATAAGTGTATTTTGGCCTGCTCTACAAGTTTACTTAGTGAAAAATAGTTGATTTTAAACACTGCTTTTGATTTTAAAAAGTCAAATAAGTCAAAACGGTATTCAAAACCCCATGTTGAACTAAGTAAACTTGCACAGCAGGCTAAACTACACATACTATATGTAACTTGAAAGTTTTATATGTTGGCGAAAAGTTTTATCAAACCCGGCTTTAGACGATCTCTAAAAATGGAAGTTATGTAACATCATTGGCCATGATCTTTGACCCCCGCAATTTTTTAGATCGTAGATCATTTGAATTGCGTATCAGTACTAGTAAGGATGTTTATTATCAAATGTTTTTGCGTGGGCTGAGACTGGGACCTTTGATAAATTTACTATTTAATTTTATTTGTTTTTTTTTTTTCTTTTTTTCTTTTTTTAAAAAAAAAATAATAAATATCTTTCCTTGAATTTTATTTTTGAACAAGTGATAATGTTGTACAACGATTTCGATGATAACAAGAAAAAAAAAAAGAAAGGCTAGTCTAAATTTATAGTTTAAATGGATCAACAAAAAACATTTTCAATTCGGGTTTTGTTAAAGCGATTTTAAATTTTTTAAATTATAATAATTTTACGCTCATTCTAAACTACTATTTTAAATTTTAAAATAAATTATATAAAACCCGTAAATGTAAAAAGCAAAAAAAAAAAAAAAAAAAA